CATGGACTAAGAAGAGGGTATCATCTTGTAGTTTGACCCAGGTGACAAAATGTCCTTGGCAGACCCTAGTTGTTAGCATTTTTGGAAATAAATGCACCCACCAAGTTAACAAAATGAGTACCAGAATTTGGCAACTGAAAACAGAGAAAAGCTGTATCCCTTTTGTGATCTTCTAAAGCTATCTGTCTGGACTAAGCCAGATTAGATGGAACTTTGTTCCGTTACCCAATAAAGCAATCATTATTTCCATTTGTTTGTAAGTGCAGAAAAGTGGCACAAAGGAATGCGGGATAGAAAAAAGTCACAGAAAAAGCATTTTGATACATTACTTGGAGTTGGAAGAAAGTGGGGGGGGGAACCTCCTCTGTACTCCTCCTGCCAATAATATGGACCTCATTGCCATTCAAACTATGAGCTGTTTTAATTGGTATTGCCCGGGATGCATCAGACCTTATACGCAAGAGCTTGAAACATAAAAAGCAAATAAACAAAGGTCCTTTTCACCCTTTCTCTATAAGGCAATGAGTTCTCTATTATATGAGTCTGGCTCTCTCTCCTTTTAATATAAAGCATTTGTTCCACCTAATATACCTGATCTGGCACTCATATTTTTCCTTCTATCCACATAGCATACTCTTCTTCTTCTTGCGAAAACAGTGACAGTGGCAAATGGGGACAAAAAGGATAACAAAGATCCTTAGCTTTCTATTTTCCTCCCATTCTGAACTAATTTTTTAAAATGTTGCAGGGTGGCAGAATTTAGCACTATGACTCTTCCCATTAATTTAAGTTCTGCATTTTCAGCCTCCCTATCAGAAGCTTCCAGTTTTCAATCCATTAATATGGGAAGCCTACAAACACAGAGCATAGCTCCAGTAGAGATGCTTCGGCTGGAAATTGCTTTTTAAATGTTTTCTACATTTTCTTAAGAGAGAAGTGGGAAAAAGCCATTGTATAAGAGGCTGCTTTAAAAAGTATGTTATAGACAGAAAGACCTCTGAGGCCTGCGCTCCTTTGTGATGAACTAGAAACAGGAGGGAGGAAGCTTTCCCTCATCAAGAAGAGCCCACAGGTTTAGTGAATTCCAACATCATAGGCTTTCAAAAAGCATTTTGTTGTTGCTGCTGCTGTGGTTCCAGTGAGCAGACATATTTGGTCTTCTTGTGACATGGATTCAGCCCATTATTTTTAAAAATATATTTTATATTTCCAAAACAAATAAAACAGCACAAAATACTTACTAACAATCTAAAACACGCTGTGTTTTAGCCTATTATTTTTTTAAAAAAAGTTTTAGCTTTCTATTATCTATATAACTAAAATCATAATCCAACACGAGCATTTGTTTTCTAAAAGGGTCGTTACTAGTGGACAGAAAAAGGGCTATTAATGGCATTGTGTGTCTGTATGTTTGCATGCACATTGTCACATAACAGTTTCAGCTAAGTTCCTCAATCAAACCTACACTTGCACTAGTAAAACCTTGGGAAAAAACACTAGTAAAACCACTAGTTCCCAACCTTGTGTCCCCAGACATTCTTGCGCTATGACTCCCAGAAGTCCTGGCCAGCACTCCTAGTGGTGAAGGCTTCCGGGAGTTTTAGTCCAAGAACATCTGGAGATCCAAGGTTGGGAACCACTACTTTAAAACTACTTCTAATTTTTAAAATCTATGTATATATAATATTGTGGCTTAACTGAAGTATTACAGAATAACTACAGAGTAGGAACTGTCTCATATACTGTAGATGAACATTGTTATATGTTATTTGTTTACCTTACAGTGGCCTGAACTGTTCTCGGAAGGATTCAGAATTCACCACTGTATTCACAGACAGCAAAATGTTGGTGTGGGGGATGGTGTGCATGCGTGCATGGTGTTTTCCTCAGTGGGGAGTCACCACTAGAATGCCCTTTCTCTCTTTGCTGCCACAAGCATTAACGTCAACAATAGGGTTTTATTTTAGTCATCTAGGGTGCATTTTGTATCTCTGCAATGCCCTGAATTGTTCTAGAACATGAACCTGTGTGAAAACGGCAGAGAATAATCAAAGAATATTTGGTGAATTGAAGAGGTATGTGTGAGAATATGCACTTTGTATGTATTTATATATTATATATTGGAAAATGAGTCAGAAAAAATGCTAAGAACCCCTATGAAGAGCAGACACTCTCTGGAGCTCTCGGCGCATAGAATCCTACAATTGGATGGGCATTTTAGGTCCTCTTGTGCCCTTTCCTGCTCAGTAAAGAAAATCCAGTGCTACAGTCCTTCCGCCTGGCCAGCCTCTTCTGAAAAACCTGAAAGCAATTAATTGTTGAATTGCTATTATTGTTAAGAACGTTTTGTAAGACATCATTAAAATATATTATTCTATTTATTACTTGAGAACATTAGATCTCAACAGAGAACACGCATTTGCCATCTTTTCTGTGGCAGCCCTTCCCGTTTTTGAAGAATACTGTCTTGCAGACTTGATATGGATTTCCACTTCCTCCATTAGACAGACTGTGCTTAGAGTCCCAGTTCTGATTAACAGACTTTGTGGAACACATTGCACCTAATGGACCTTGCAGATTGGATTTAATGTACATTAACACAGCCTTTCATTTTGGTTGGTTTCAGTGCAGGAGGAAACTGCTCACGGGAACAGTTTTCGGGTAGAGCTCTAGCTCAAGAGGGGATGATGTGGAATGGAACATTCCAGAGGGAATGGATGTGTAGAGGAACAACATTAGAATCTCAGTTCTGGGAGCAGTGGGGTGTGTGTGCATTTGACATGATGAAACTGTTCTCTCCCCACATCCTCTCCACTGTGGCTGTCTCTAGTATGTGAATGCAGAACTGAAATGTTTGCCAGCCAGCCATAGCATTTCTTGGGGATGCATGTGTCTTGGCCTCTATTCCATCATTTCTCTTTCTGTGTATGTGTGTATATATTCTTCCTATGACAATACAGAAATCTTCCTGCATTAATAGATAGAGTTTGCTCATTTATAAAATAAAGAAAATCATGCATAGGCCCAATCGTGTAGTGCATATCCACATGGTCAGGTGTGAATGCATACACCTTCAGATGCACACGAAGAGGGAGGGAGAGCAAGATGGTTGCACAATGTTGTATATAGGGCCAGCGTTGCAGCTCAGTTCCCTCTACACGTGAGTTTCTATGTGAAAAAGGTTTAACAATCAACTGAAAGATTTAGCTCCTGCCCTTGGTCCTCCATCTGTGAAACGGAACTGAGAGCAATCCAACTGTATGGTATACCTTGCTTTATTACAAAACATACTGTGTTTCAGTACCAAATCCCTGTTCTTTCTTAGACTGTTGCGTTTTGGTTTCTGTTTACAATGGCTTAGTAACCCAAAAATTGCCAGACATCTAAGCAGTGCTACTTGCCCTGGATGGAAACCTGTGCATTGGTAATGACTAGAGATGGGCATGGACTGAACCACAAACCAGTAAAAAACACAAACTGAAATGGCTCATGGTACAGTTTGGGGATCCCATTTTGCCAAAACAAGACAAAGCACCAAACTTTTTTTCCCTCTTGCACTTGGTTTTGCTTTGTTAAAACAAGAGGGCTGCCTCGCCCCCATCCCATGTTCCTGTCGCCTCCTTACCTTGTCTTCCTGCTGCCACCACCACTGCCACCATCTGAGAGACAGCAGGCCTAGCTCCTTGCATGGAAGCCGGACCTGCTGCTTGTATGCAGGTGTCTACCTGTCAGCTGAGCAGCGGGTGCATGCACACAGGCTGCAAACCCACCCACCCCAAAAAACAACCAATCACAAACCAGTTTTGAGGGGGGTTCATGACAGTTTGTAGTTCATGGCTAGCCATGAACCACAAACCACAGGCTTTCCAGTTTGAGCCCATCTCTAATAATGAATCTTGCACAGCTGTTTTGAGACTGTTGGGAGACAGGTGGTATGTTGACTATACTCACACACCAAAATGTTCTACAGTTGTAGACCAACCCCAATGGTGCAGAAATACCACTGTCTAACATTAATAACCACTCTATCTATGGCTTCTTCTGGGGAAAGCAACATATTAGCACTGAATGGGCCTTTCACTGTAAGGGCAGCTGCAAAAGAAATGGATACTGCTCATACAGTTGCCCATAGCGATGCTTTGTTTCATTTTTGAAAGCATGTTTCAAAAGCATCAGATAGGACAAAAGTTGAAATAATTAATGTTTATTGTGTGGATGTATTACAAAATGAAAACAAGTGTATGATTTTTATTAATAATTTTAATTAACTTTTAATTGATTCCATGAAGATAAATGGTTTCATTATCATGTCTCACAGTGAGCACCACGGCAGGATATTAAATATATTTAGAGACTTCCTGACAGTAATGCTGATAACCAGAGACTTCTATATTATCTCATGGGACCATCTGGAGGCTCTTTTGTGAACACACACAAATGAAAGCGCACTTCATTTCCCTTACATGCAAAAATTAGTAGCCCAGAGAAAAGGAGAACAAGAAGGCACCGGAGAGCTTTATTCTCTGCAATACAGGCCTAATCCAGAAATTTCAAGAAAATTGGTTGGTCAATATTATTTTTATTATTTATGGACTGTGTATCAATAATTGCTAACACAGGCTTGACTGCTTAACTGCAGATTTCAGGGGTGAGTCAGGTACACTTTGTCTCCATCCCTGATATACATTAGCTTTCATCCTATCCAAATTTAATATTGTCACAGCCAGTTTTAGTGCCTTAAGAGAGATAATGGCCGTACAATTGTGTAGGTATGTTTGCTAGGTTGTACTTCCCTTGGACTTTCTCTGGTATGACTGTTTGTAATCTGATTTCCTGTTGAGGGAGCTTTGTTCAGTAATGCAGAATGTCCAGACTTCCTAGGGCGGCAGGGCTCAGAATCTGACATCAAAGAAAGTGGGTGCCTTCCTTTTTCCCTGAAGAGGTTCTCCTTGTGCTACCAGTTCCTTTTTCCTGACTATTTATATTTATTTATCTTTCAGGCTACTGATCCTGACGCTGGGGTAAATGGCCAAGTCCATTACAGTTTAGTAAATTTCAACCATCTTTTCCGCATAACATCCAATGGTAGTATTTATACTTCAGTGAAGCTAAATAGAGAAAAAAGAGATTATTACGAACTCATTGTTGAAGCAACTGATGGAGCTGTGGATGCCCGTCGTGCAACACTAACTTTGGGGATCAAAGTCTTAGATATCGACGACAACAGCCCTGTGTTCACTAATGCCTCCTATACAGTCACCATTCCTGAAAACCTGCCCCCAGGAACAGTCTTCCTACGTTTAGAGGTAAGAGAGACATGAGTTCCTTGTTACTCAAGCTGATTTTGCCCTTTAAGGTTGCTGAGTAAGGATCATTTTAGCCAACTGACTATCTGAGAAAAGAAAAGAGGAAGACAAATCATGTAAATTTCCTCATCATGCATTTATTTAATTTATACTGGCAGACTGCAGGAAAATATACCATGATATAACAGCAGTAGAATTCACAATACATTGGTTGTTGCGGGTTTTTCAGGCTCTTTGGCCATGTTCTGAAGGTTGTTCTTCCTTGAGGAAGAACAACCTTCAGAACACGGCCAAAGAGCCCAAAAAACCCGCAACAACTATTAGATCCAGACCATGAAAGCCTTCGCAAATCACAATACATTTTTTAAAAGGATGACATTCAGTATTTGAAATCAGATAAAATATTATGAGCCATCACAATAGCATCTCTTTCCTTCTTCCCCAAGTCTTGTTAGCAGAATCTGACTCCTTATGATACTGGTCATGACATTCCTATACAGGCAATTTGTTTTAGCTTGCTTGCATGACTTTAAAACAAAGCTTTATACAACCAAGATGAAAACATCTGAATCATGATGAGATATCTGTATGTTCGGATATATTTATGGATTTCTTGGAGAAAGAAGTGTCTGCAAAGAAAAGTACATGCAGGCCTGCTTCTCCATTTGAAATGAAAGCAGACCTTTTTGTAGAGTTTTGATTAAATATTGAGTCCTTTGCACCATTAATACTTTGCCTGCAATCTAGTGCAAGATACTTGCCCATGCCTTGATTATTTATGCCAAAACAGAAAACGTGCAGAGATTTTTTTTTTAAATGACAATTGGTTGGATTTAAAACATGAACTACAGTAATTCCCAAATACGGAGAGAAATAATGAGGATTTGAAGTAGGATCCAGTGGAGCAGGAACAGCTAACAGAAGGAAGAAATGCATTTAAATTAGGGATCAAACCTACAGGGAGGGAAAAGAGGAACAGAAAAGTAGAAACTTCAACTTTCTATTTGAGGAAAGTCCATTGTGAAAACTAAAGGGACACAGAGTAGCCAGGAGAGCTTCATGACAACCACTCATAATGTGGGGCTCTGCTTGCTACAGATAAGAGTACATATATTGCAATTTATTTGATTATAGGCATTGGGTGGATAAGCCGTTTTAAATGACCATGGACTCATTATTCAGCTACATCTGCAAAATATTAAATGGTGGTATCCAGATTTGTTTGTTTAGTTGTTTCTCCTTATGAAATGGATGTATGGTGTCTTTGCTGCATCCAAAACCATTGTTCTTCTTTTCTTCCAGGCTAAAGATATTGATCTTGGATCCAATATTACCTATGGAATACGAACCCGGGAAGCACGCCAGTATTTTTCACTGAACAGATTTACAGGGGAGCTGGCACTTTTAAAATCCTTGGATTTTGAGTCATTTTCTAGCACAGATGCAACATTCACGTTTTTAGTGGAGGCTTTCGATGTTGGGGGAACAATGCCTCCCGGGCTTGCTACTGTCACTGTGAGAGTAAGGGTAAGAAAGTGTTGTTAATTTTTTTAATTCCCTGTCTTCTAACATTTGCTATGTGGGGCCATTGAAAGAGACCTCTGTGCATTTTAACAAAAGCAGAGACATCCAAGAGAAATTCTCATCCTTCCTCTACAGTTTTCTGATGTTCCTTCTCTATTATTTGTATATATCTGCACATTATTTGTAGCAGAAACATGTATTTTTTAAAAAATGTACAAGAACAAATATAATTGCTTTGCAAATGTACATAATTACAGAGCTATGTCTTGGCTGATAGATTTGTGTATTGCAGATTTAAATTGGTGAATCCTTTAAAATCCTCCAAAGACTGAAACAAGCATCAGCAGAATTGCTTGCCCAAATTGCAACATCTATATTTCAGTTTAAGTCTCCATAAACCCACAGTTTTATGAGCCTCACTTATAGATCAACTGCTTGTATGCACTGCAGTAGAATTTCAATTTATGCTCTTACGAGTCTGGGTTTCTAAAAGAATGACTGTGTTTTAGCTGCTTTTCACAGTACAATATTTCTGCATTCGTTATTCACTGCAATATGCTTATCATATTTGTATTGCCCATAAGGGCCACTTCAGAATCTGGCTTTTTTTTAAAAAGCATATACTCAAGCTCTTTTAAATGTACAGGCAGCTGTGTGATGAGTGATTATGACAAACCTATGATTCCAATCACTAAAGTCCCGGCGCAGTTCATTGCTTATATAGTAGTGATCTGCCCAGGTTTTGCCTATGCATAATGTGTAAGATAGCTCTAATCTCCACTTGTTGTAAGATGTAGAAAATGCCATCCTGACATCACTAAAGAGCTCAGAGACAGACAGCTGTCAGTATTACACATGACTAGAGTTTGTTATCTGGGAATATGATGTTCTAGCGTGTTTCATCTGTGCAGAAGATAAGAGTTTGACTTCTTTTTCCTTTGTTCAGCCATTTTAAACAAGGACATAAGAAAACCTGTAGATGGTGTGGCTTAGGGTGTCAAGTCTTCTGGCTATAGAATGTATTGGATAAATGATTTAAAAAGTAAAATACTCAGATTTCCTGCAGGAGACTGAATAACTAGCGTATATACTTGAGTATAAGCTGACCCGAATATAAGCCGAGTCACCCAATTTTACCACAAAAACTGGAGAAACTTATTGACTTGAGTATAAGCCAAGGGTGGAAAATGCAGCAGCTACTGGTAAATTTCAAAAATAAAAATAGATACCAATAAAATTACATTAATTGAGGCAGCAGTAGGTTAAATGTTTTTGAAGAAACTGCCCTTCTGAGCTGCGAGATACACTTCACTGCCCACGGAGGGAGGAGGACTCATACCTGATGCTGAGCTTATCTACTGCTCTACTGCTGCGTAACAAGATGGAGGGAGACAGAGGATGGAGGAGGAAGGTGGGAGGAAGAAGGTGGGTACATAGAATAGGCAGAAGGAGGAGGATGGGAGTGTCCTGGAAGCGGAAATGCAGTGTACTTAACCCGGATCATCGGACCACCCACAGAGGCTGCAGGCACCTGTAAATGAGTGGGGGGAATCCGGAGAACACCCTCACTGCAGGGAGAATATGTAATTTTGACACTAACTCGAGTATAAGCCGAGGCGGTGCTTTTTCAGCAAAAAAACTGTGCTGAAAATCTAGGCTTATACTCGATTATATACAGTAATTTACAAAACCATTTCCCCCAACCTGATGGCAGATTATTTCACATGTTCTTCAGAATGGAAACATATAACTTTACAGGTTGAATGTTAACCAGAAAGCTCTCTCTCCCTCTCTCACACATACGCCCATAGGTATGTGTGTACATACATGCATGCATGCATCCACACACACACCCCTCATTCTTTTTATGGAGATTCTCCTTTTCTCATTTTACACATACCTTTCTCTAAGATAAGCTTTTCAGTGCTTTTCAGCTTAATTCTTTATGTCAGCACCCAGAATTTGTACAAGGTGTGGCCAGCTGATGTTTCTTAGTTCTGCTTTAGAAATTACAAGGAAGTAGTTTGAATATGCCACACATGGCATATTTATGATTCTTCAGCTGTCTTTCAAGAAACCTTTCTTCCACACACCTGTTCATATTTTTGTACCTCTGTAAAACTTTGCACTTTCTTTTCCCCATCTACCCTGTTTCCCCGAAAATAAGACCTACCCTGAAAATAAGCCCTAGTATGATTTTTCAGGATGCTCGTAATATAAGCCGTACCCCAAAAAATAAGTGAAACCCCACCCTCCGCCACGCCGTACCCCAAAAAATAAGTGAAACCCCATCCTCCGCCACTGTGAAGCAACCAGAAGAAGATAACATGACTGTATTTGAGTAAATGTAGATTGTTGTACATGAAAAAAATAATCCCCTGAAAATAAGCCCTAATGCATTTCTGGAGCAAAAATTAATCGAAGATCCTGTCTTATTTGCAGGGAAACACGGTATACAACTCACCTGTCATCCTTTACCTCCTTTTTAACCCTCATTTTTCTCACCTTGCAGTCCTTGTTTATGGGGAGAGAGCCTATTTCTCTGTCTTGTGTAATAAATAAGGCACTTGTGTTGTTCTTCTGTTGGTAGTAAACAGGAAACTGTAAACCTTTAAGATTTTTAAAAGACATTTCCTTTTTCTTATGCTTTTAAAGGTTCATTAGAATGCATAGTGTTGTTTTCACACATCCATGAAAACTCTATTAATGTATTCTCTTTCTGTACCGGCCCTCTATGTTACAGTGATTTCTCCATTATTTTCATCTGTTGTAGAGAAGCTAGGGCAAGTTGCACCTCTCTCTAGAGCAGCTCCCAAATTTCAGATGCAATTATGAACTGCCTTAATGTCCTTTGATTTCTTGACATGGTTAAGAAATTCTTCCAAAAAATCACATAAATACAAGCACAAGTAATTGCAACTTTGAAAGTGTGAAAGCATAATAATTAAGTATATAATGACATTACTAATTAAGATTATAAAGACTGTTCACCCCATTCTTTGTGCATATGGGATCTCTGATCTTTATATGGACTTTTTTCTGGATGCAAGCCCTTCCCGAGGGCCTTGTGTACCAAAAAGATCATCAGTGAAAGAAAGTAGAAGCTGAAAGCTGTGTCTGTGGAGAATATGTCAAGATCAGTCAATGACTAAATTGTCTAAAAATCAGGGCTTAACCAATTCTAGGGATATTTATTGCTGCTTATGAAGCAGAGACATGCATGAACCTTGTGCCTGCTTCATCTGTTCTCACACTACTTCTGTCTTCTTTTCTCTGCATGGCATGATTAAAGATTTTCTTAAGTAGCCACTTTTTTACATAATAAATAAATAACATTAATAAAGCATGTCAAAACTTGGAAACCGTAGTTAGTTGTATGAGAACAAACCAGAATCTGAAAGCATTGCTTGAAAGTGGTTTTTGAAAAATCCAGTTTATTCTGAGCCTTTTAACTATAATTTCCTGGTTTGGACTTAACAGGAAACTCTGTATAAATGGTCCGGGAAATGCCACAGTGTCTCAAGCACAGGGGATGGACAGGATGCTATTTACCAAACTGTGCCAATATTTTTGTCAGCCAGAAACGTTGGCTGGTGTCTAACATAGCTACTGTACCCATGACTGCAACTTTTGTGAGTAGAAGTGTTGGGGGGGGGGTTGCAATCCCTTTTCCTCTTCCATGTGGGCTTCAGAAATGTGGTCATACAGCCATTTGGCTATCCAAGAATTAAGAGCTGCTGTGGAGGTGGAGGTACAGTCAATGCATTCCACAGTTTGAGGACCAGCTTTATTGGAATTAGTTGTACTTTGCTCTACTCTTACTGATATCCATACCAATATTCCCATTAATCTCAATGGGGAAAAAAGGCAGCCCCATAGGGTATTCCCCAGAAATCCTGGCCAGCAGAGGTGGTGGTGAAGGCTTCTGGGAGTTGCAGTCCAAGAACATCTGGAGGCCCAAGGTTGGGGACCACTGCTCCAGAGGATTGGGAAGCTCTCTGGAGCAAGGTTTCCGTACTAGACAAAGCTGTCAGAAAAGAGAGGGGAAATGCTAATGGTACCACATACATCACATTGTTTGTCTGCTTAGGAGATTAAGTGTTTCGCAAAACAACACTAAAGTAGACTACTGCTTACTGTTCGCCATTACAGTTACTGTTTGTGGTTATAATGTCTTCCAGTAAATATTAGTAATTGGATTTTGGAGAAGGGACTGTGTTACTTTCTTGAAAGTTAGTTAACTGCCTCATGTCTGGGTGCATGAAATCGAGTCTACAGTTTGTGGTTTGTACGTACATAAATACACATGTGCAGCAATAAGAAGAAATATTGTTGCACATGTGTATTAACATACACACAAACCACTGCAAATTAGGTGTATGTTTAAAGAAGTTAAAAATCTGTTGCTGAGTATGTTTGCATTTGAGGATGTAACACCGTGCAACAAATAGTTCAACTTTCTAGTCTGTTTGATTTTTCTACTACCACTGCTGATTATGCTTTAATTTGTCTTAATAATGAAAATAAAAAGGGAAAGGGGAGCTTGTAGAGTCATTGAAAATGAAGCTAAAAATTCTTTTCATTACAGAACTGATGCTCTTGAAAACAGAAATCCATTGATGATACAATCTCCCTCATCTCTTTACAACGTTTAGTCACGCTCATGTACTTCCCCAATCCTGTTTATGTCAATCAGTGAGGTGGAGAGAGAATGTGAATCACATGACATGAGATAATTGAAAATAAGATTTTCTGTTTGCCCCAGTGGGAAAGAAGGTTAACCAGAGATCGTCCGAGGTTATTCACAGGTGTGATTAATTTGAAAGTTGTTTTTAAAACATGTGAGATAAAACAGAGAAGCAGGCCCTTGAGATAAAAGCACAGTATGCAGCAAGTGCAGGGAAATCAAGGAATTTCAGAGAAATGCAATGCAATTATTAAGTGAAAAATGTAATATAAGACAACTTGAAATAAAGCATGGTATACAATTGTTTTTCACATAC